GGGGGGGGGGGGGGGGGGGGTCACATTGCAACAACAACTCGGTGATCTTATTTTGCTCTTATTCTTGACCTCCAGTGCTTCCCCCCCACCCTTGCTAGAGATCCTCTGCACTAGTTTGGTATTTGAGGGGTTCTGCAATCCTCCAGATAACTTTCATGCAACAGCAGGTCTGCCAAAATCAGAATCCTATACTACCAGCAGTGCTCAAACAATAAGCAAACTGATTTCTGGATATGAAACTAAAAAAAAAAGCAAACACACCAAAAAAACCCACAATCTAATTTATTAGTTCCCATAAGTCTCCCATAGATGTTTACACTAAAAAAAAAATCTTAACCCATTTGCCAAATACAGAAAGAAAATGTTATTCCCTAGCCTGATTTAGACAAACCTTAGTACATGTACATTCCCATACTGAACTATGCAGAGCTACTTCAAATAACGTCTGAGATCACTCCAGATATTATTCAAAAAGGGTAACAAAAGAAACCACCTCACAAAAGAATGTGATACTCATGCCAACTACTTGATCAAGAGATATTTCTTGTCAAGACATTAGGTACAAGACTAGGAACATGGCATTTAAAATGAAGTGACTGGATTATTTCTGGTCCTGGCATGTTTCCAAAAATACTGTGTGGCACACATACTACATCTAAGGAGAAAAAAAGTCAGATACATTGCCTTTTATATTTTACTATGCATATTAACATTAAGATTTCTCACAATCAGAAAAGCAATTTCCATTCACTTTCCTAAAGAAGAATTTACCATTTACATATTGCAGTATCCAAGTTGTCAGAGGATGCCAAGTTGCTTTATTTCCTAGACATCAAAAAAGTGGAGGAGGTATTTTTCTCTAAGTTTCAGGATACCAGTCTAAGGAACTTAGGAATAGCTTCCTTTTACAGCAATACACATGGCAGCAGCATTATATATTCTACTTATCAGATCCTTTGTAATTCTTCCTCTACTTAGAATAAGTCTGCAATGTAAAACAGCAAACCCATAAGAACCCATTCACTTTGATGATGCACTTGTAGAACATCCTTTACCCGTGCACACCCAAGCACTTAACACTAAGTCATTGCCACTAGCATGACACTCGCTTCTTAATTCTTTGAAGGTAAATAAATGCAGCATCAAGGAATGTTTTACAAGGGACTTCTGAATGAAGATTTAAGATATAGAGTTCTTGTAACTGGGCTTCCCCATGTTGCCCCAAATCCCCCTTTGCTTCTGAGTGAAGGGGGGGGGAGGAGGGAGGAGCAGTATTGCAGTGCATTATGGAGTAATGCATTCTGTAGTATTTTCATACTCAGAAGGGTTGTTTACTTACTACAGAATCAAAACATGGAGACTACTCTGCACATGGTCCAGCTCTTCCACTTACCTGTTACATTGAATTCATTTACCACTACTGCATAATAACCTTTCAATTAAGAGTCACTTGTGTTGTAAATTAAAGAAGTGACACTTTGGAAACCCCAGAGAAAGGCATTATACTGGGACTGTAGAGTAAAAACAGAAGCAGCGTGTTATGCTGCAGCATGAACAGTTGAAAGGGGTGAATAAAAGGCCCAGGGGGGAAGGAAAGGGAAATGCTATCATTAAGCCTACTAGTTATGTTCAAGCTCTAGGGGTATGTATGAAACCAGAATGGCAGGTTTTACTTACTCAGCATTCTTCCATTTCCTCTCTTATCCCCACATCAAAAAATAGGCTAAGCAGGAGCATGCTGCTACTTGGCAATACTATTCTGAATTGGTAGGTCTTCAATTCTTTAGCTATCATTCCCACTCCCTGCCCTACCCAGCCATGATATAATTGAAGCAGGCACAAAACAGCAGAGGAGTAGTTCATAGCAGGAACTGAATATTACTTTTGTGACAGGGCTTATAAGACTGGCATTATACAGGTTTTGCAACAGCATTACACCCAGTCAGGGGAAAGAGGAGGGGGAAGTAAGTTTGTTTTTAAGAACTATGACTTTCCTTCAACAAACAGAATAGACTGCCCTCTCAGTTTTTTAAAACAATGCATCTTCTTCTCCCCACCACCCTACACCATGCAGTATTAGATCTTCCTTATGAAGATTCCTACAGAACCGATACCCAATAACTGAAATTAGGATCAACTATTGGCACCAGTTTCCCTGCATAAAAAACAGGCATCTGTAAGTTTTAGTTTAGGTTTCTTTTCTGGGGTCCAACAAGGATAAGTTTCTAGCTTCATGATTAAGCTACCATAGGGACACAGATATATGGTTAATAATGTAGGGCAATCTAAAAAAAGTCAGATGGAAGTCCTAACATTGTATGCAAACAGCTTTCCTCAACAAGTTCTTAAACTTTTGTTGTCCAGGTAATTAGACGCCTGGATCAAGTTGACAGCAGAAGCTAGAGTCTTATTTCTTCATTTAACCTCATGCTTATCTGAGCTCTGATCCTGTGACCTTTAATGTTTAAAACAAGATATGGACTAGCCCACTTAACTATAATGTTCATTAATACCTTCAGATAGTTTCAATTAACTAGGAATTTACATGTTTCCTGTTCCTTCATAGTTAAAGAAAAATAGCAGATGCCCTTCTGTTCAAATACAATCTACATTATAGTATTTGCTCCTATAAGCAGGTATTGCAATACAGTCTTTTAGAAATTGTTTATGCAGGTTAACCATACACTTCCCCAAACATCTCACTGTAAGGGTTTGGTAATTAAGCCAGGAATGAGAGCAGAGCAGGATCACCTTAAAAAAAAAAAAAAAGAGACAACACTGATAGAAGCTTTTTTTTTTTTTTTTTT